AAAACCCTAGAATCCTTGAGAATGCCCAAAGGACTGGTACAATTCCCAGAAGTTCTAAGTATTATTAGACTTTGTCTTGTACCCCAATACCCCAATACCCTATGCTCACATCTGACATCAAGGCCATGACAGACACCTCTTTAACTTTGTTGGCTACCATTACCTTTGCAGTGGGTGGACCGATGATTGGGATTTCCTCATCAAACTGTTATAGGACAGCCCCGATATTGAATGGGTTGCCTGGCTGTGGATCCTCACCCACGCGCTTAAAAGGGACTTACTAATACTCCACTACAGGCACACACAAAAGGTTAATAAAAGGTTTGTTTACAAGGGAAAAGGAAATAAGGAAAATGTACAACTCAGGGAGAAAATAGGGAAATAAAGTCTTTAATGCGTCCTACCTGATCCGCCGACCTGGAAAACCCAAAGTCACTCTCAGAGCTGGCCGAACGCTGCGAGCTGGCAGAGAGCCAAAATGGGGGAACCTCTAAAGCCCACGTGTCTGCCTTTATACCAACCTGGCTGCTTAACCCCACCCTCAGGTCCCAGCCACCTTCCCTTTGGTGGTGATGGGATTTGGAGTTCCCAGTGTCTTTGGCTTTGGCCTGGGGTGGGGGTGGAGTCCACAAAGCCTGTATGGAATTAGCTTTAGGACATCCTTTTCCCCCTAACAAAACCTGGTATGATCAAGAGTTAAAGAAGCAGCAGAGTCTGAGGAGAATGTGTCCCCGATATTTCCAAAGATGTCCATGGTCAACTGAGGAAAGAAGACTGTAATCAGACAGAGAATAAAAGACGAGTGATTGTTCTTATTCCAGAGAGCACTGTGGATCTAGAAGAATCATTTCTGCACAAAGTATGCCGTGAAACCAGAGTGTTTCATAAGGCTTCCTTGTATCTGGGAGATTCAGTGAGGAATTTCATTTAGCCTCAAAACTAATACTGCAATACCCACATAGGCGAAAGCTTTCAAGTTAATATGCTGAGATTTGCTTCTGGAATAAAGGATCATTACATGTTCTTATTTCTACATAGTCTTTCATGAAGTCTGAATGTTTGGGTTGAAACGTATAATAATTTACAGTAGCTTGACTCCTGTAATTTAAACAAATAAACAAAAAATACATGGTTAGGACCCCCCATCTCACTGAATCAGAGCCTCTAGCAGCAGGGCCCAGGAACATGCTCTCACATCTCAGCAGATCTACCGAGGGCCCCTCCAACCTCAGGCACGCACGGCATTGGTCACACTCAGCTCCCTCTTTTGCTCTTACTTGTTTTAGGTTCATGAACATTAAAATTAGTCAGTATTCATTCAATCATGGCTTAGATGCATTGTTTTCTAAAAATATATGTCAAAACATAGGACAATTTAACAAATAGATCGTGACCTAGCTGAAGGCAGCTCCTCCCCATCACTCCAGGCTGCAAGTCTGGAAAGAGTAGGTTCAGCTGCTGCCAGGCTTGGTGCCCTCACAGCCAAGTTTGGCACCCCGCCCCTCTTCTTCCAAGACCCCTCTCCGCAGGCCCAGGTCTCTCACATAGCCCCATGGAAAGCCCCTCAATCATGATGTGCCCCTACACTTTCTCCTTCCCCTGGGGCTCCTCAGCAGTCACCCCAACCAAACCGACCTTTCTTATCTAGACTTAGATCAGTGGCAGAGAAGCTCATGAATGATTAAAATATAATTTGGTAAAATGTGAAATTAAAGTGTTATTTTAAGCAAAAAAAAAAAAATTGGTGATAGTCGGTTAACACGCTTTCTTTACTAAGTCTGGGGCTCTTTGCAAACCTATGTGTTCACGGAACCAGTGTCAGCCACAATCAGGTGAGATCTGAGACCCATCTCGAGCAGCCCTTCCTCCTACTCTTCCTCGCAGGCTTGAAGAAGCCACCCTCTTCCAGTCCTTGGAATACACATTCCCTTAAGACACAAAGCACCGTCTTGGGATCTTGCCGGGACATTGTCTATGTCAGATATTGTCAAGACATTGTCGCAGTTAGTATTACTCTCTTTAACTCAAGCTTCTTCCTGCCCCAGGGCCTTTGCATTTGGGGGACCCTTTCAAGTGGCTGTGGCTACAAATTTGTTTGGTTTCAACTCAAATGTCGCTTCTTTCCCAGAGGCAGCCCCTGATGAACCCAACGAAAGCTGCACTACTCCCCACATCCTCCATACCCCCCACCCAGCACCCCACCCCAGCCCACTCCACCCAGGCACCCTTAATGCAGCAGTGCTGGAGCAGGGGTAATGTTGCCTCTTAGGAGTCCTTGGGTTTTGTGAATATTTGCAGCTGTCACAGCTAAAGGGGCACAAACCGTCCTCTGGCTGGAGAAACGAAGTTTGCTGCCAGACCCTGCAGCGTGCCCAGGATGACCCCACGGCAAAGTCATCTGGCCCCAGGTGACTGGTTGGAGAATCACGGCACCGACACTGTAGTGCAGCTTCTTCAGTGTTCGTCTGTGCTACAGGGGGAGGTTTCAGAGTTTCTCCTCTTAAACTAGAGCTCCTCAGGCACTGGAGATGAGGCTGGTGTTTGTTTCACCCCCAGCACCCAGAGGAGGGGCAGGCACACTTGCTGGTCAAATTACATCCCATCTGCCCTTGTCCTGGGAAAGCTGTAGATACCTGACCCAGACCAGCCGAAGAGCCTGTGGAAGAAAAGTTGGTTGTCGAAATGAAACCAAAAATCTTTTTTATTAGTGAGTGTTTGTACAAAGAGACTGAGTCCCTCATACATTCACATGCTCAGAAAACAATCTTCACCCATGAAGGATTGGTTCTGCCACTTCCTAAACAGATACAAAAATATCCTAATTCTAAACAGACCATCTCAATTACATGGGTATCCTGAAGACTCAAGAGGAATTGTGCAGAGCAGAATCGCAGTCATCTCAAAGGATGTGTTTATGGTAAAGAATTTAATATTAGCTAAATGCCTCTCCTTGCTTTCCTCTATTCCCACTCTACCTCCCAGCTATTGACAAATGTTTCCTATAATGTAAAATGATAGCCAAATTACCCAATATCAACTTTTCCAAAGAGGAATGTTATTTTAAAAAAAAAGTACATAAAGTAAGAGATTTAGGAATGCCACACCATTGAAGTTATTTACTGAGACCTGATACTAGATCAGCTATTGCTACAAATGCTACAAAGGAAAAACAACAAATTTGCATTTCTCTAGTGTTTTTCACTTTTCAGACTTCTCCCAAGTATCAATAATTCAAATAACCACTCTACATGAGTATAGGTACAGAATATTCTCTCCAACAGAGAGATGATTTGCCCTAATGCTATCCAGTGTTACTGATAAGAGTAGGATTAGAACTCAGATTTTATTCATGATTCTGTATATCACCTACATTTCATCATGTCCCTGTATACTATATCTCCAAATGCCCTGGGAGTGTCAGTTGTCAAAGCACATTAACATCTCCAGAAAGGAGATGGAAAACAGAGCGAGCGTCATAAATCCAAAGTCCCCAAGTCACAAAGCAGCTAACACAGTGAGCAAGCAAAGAAGGACTAGGGGGCAGAGGAAAGATGACCCCTTTAACAGAGCCCCGGTTTCATATAATGCAGCTCTCTCCAGAGAAGTCACAGATCTGGTTTGCACATGAAATCTTCACATTTATGCAAGTTGCCTCAAATTTAAGAGCAAATGTCATAGTTGCCACAAAAAAATTAAGACCAAATTATGGGGTTCAATTTGAGAACCTGCATATTTCATGCTCGTATTTGCCCACAGAACCTTTTTGTAGAGGTGCCATTAATTTCCTGGAACTCTCTGAACAGTGTCAGAAATGTTACTATAGAACACAGGCGGCCTGCCCTATAGACCACTACAGTGCAAGGAACTCTAAGCCCCCAGCAAGAGTTATTTCAGGATTTACTCAAATTGAAACTAGTAGCCAGCTGTGTTAACATTTCCTTATAGAAATGTTTCTAGTGACTAAAAATATCCTCTACCTTTAGCCTTTGTTAAACTCTCTTGGCAAAATCAAAAATTAAATTGTGAATAGTATTAATATTGATTCAATATGAAAAGCTCTTGATCTTTCAAAAAAAAAATCTTATGTTTTTGTGTTTAGAGAATTTGGATGCTCAGTAACACTATCAAACATTATTTCAATAGCAAAACAAGTCTTCTAAGACAGAAAGCCTTTTGTATCTACTCCTGCCCTTTCTTTTATTCTTTTTGAATAAAAGAATATTTTGCCTCATTCTAAAAATTAGTTCAGACAGCCTGACTGCTGTGTACATAAGTGTGGGGAACTGGAGCACAGATGTAGCATAAATGTATTAAATCACATGGCAACTGATTTTCTCCCACTGGTGTCTACTTGATCAACTGACTACTTGAGTTTCTTCCAACTGCTAACATACCCCTCCTGGTCCCAGGGAAAGCACCTAATGCCTTGTATTTTCAGAGCCATGAGTAAGCCATATCCACCTATTATGGTAAAACCACTTTCACTTCTATTTCTCCATAGGGAAGCAAAAACCTCTACACTTTCATTTGGCAGGACCTAAGAAATATAGCATCTGGAGTTACAAGATAAAAAAAAAAAAAAAAAAAAAAACCAGGAGATAACAATGAAATACTTCCAAGTGAAGTTAAGTCCCAAATCAGATGTGCTGATTTTAAGTCCTATCTGTAGTTCTTAAGAGTTGTGATAACTGGTTAGAAGTTCTTTTCCCATCTTCCCGGTGTCTATTCTTGATGGGTCCAGGATTCTGGGGTCTAAAAAAAATTAAATTCTAGTGTTCTTTTCAGGTTTGGGAGAAGTTCAGCAACCAGAAAGATTGATCCAGCATTAGTATAAAAAGTTAGGCTCTGTTACCAGTGAGGTGCAGCTCCCTGATGAGCTCAGCCTACTCAAGATGGTATGTTGATGGTATGTTGATTCCAGCCATGTTGACACACCATTGGAAACTGACACAGAAAAATGGCTCTGAATTTTAAAAGGAGTCTGACATGGTGATCTCTGCTTGTAGTCTTCTGCACTTAAGGCCATGAAGTCTGAGAACCAGAGTCTTAATCCACGACATAAGGATTGTCCTCAACAATGTAGATATTGTCTGCTGCTCGGTTACGCATTTCAGCTGCATTTTGCAAAGCTCCAATTGGAGGGCGATTCACAAAAACCATGCTGCAGAGAGAATGACTCAAGTTAGGGAAACAGACCACATCCAGTTTTAGCAGAGCATTTGTTCTCAGGTAGGACAGAGAATTTATAACACCTAGAGTCACTCAATTTATGAAATGAATTGAAGCTTCCAGAGTGGCAAATATGTTGTAGGAAAGCTGTTTAATAAGCAGAAAACTGGGCCTCCCTGGTGGTACAAGGGATTAAGAAGCAACCTATGAAGCTATCCACAGCCACTGCAGCACAAGTTCGATTCCTGCCCAGGGAGCTACCCACATGGCACAGCAGACCTTTCCTGTCTTGCCCGCTGCTCCCCTCAACAATGTATTTCAGTCAATCCTCCTGTTCTGTTCCCCACTCTGTCTCTGGTGAATCCTCTCACCTCCCACGCCTCTGGTCTGTACCCCAGTTATTGTATGCATAAATACATAAATCTTAAAAAAAAAAGCAGAAATTCCAAGCTGTATTCAAAAAACTCAGACTAGTCTCCTGCAAAAGACTCATGTCATAGAAGACAAAAGGTGAAAATCTAAGGCAGATGTTAAGCATCCAACAAAGGAACTAAAACAAGTTTTGTTTCTATAACTAAATCAACATGCATATCCTCAAAGGTGGCTAAGAGAGGTACTTGGCTATGTTTTCCCAACTGTCAGGGAAGGTTATTAAATCTATTTAGTGGTCCACATCCTGTGTTTAAGATAAGCATAGAATGCAAAATAATTAAAGCATACTGGACATAGTAAAATAGTAGTGTTTCACATAAGTATGTATTGGATAATGGTGTTAGAAATCTTACTGTGTCTTAATGTCCAAATGCAAAAGCCAGGATTTAGGTGATTTTTCTAACCTGCACACTCACGTAAAGTGTGCAGAAAGGTCATGAGGGTTTTGATACAGCTACTGTTTTATCATTTGTATATGGTGACTGTTTAGATTACCTAAGTCTGCCAAGAAATGACGTAGGTCATACTGAGTCATTATTCATCTCTGGTCTTGAAATGAACCAATCATACATGTGTGAAAATAGTTTAAATGTCAAATAACTCAAAATGTGTCAGGTTTCATAAAGCTGCCCGCAAAGTGATGTCAGATGGAATGCTCGTTTGTATTATGTCTTCTTCTGCTCTTTTATTCTTTTATAACATTTTCTACAATAAGTATTTTCCTGTATAATTGGGTGATAAGAAGTAGATCTTTTAGAAAGCTAGCAGTGAAAGGACAGAAAGCAACTAAAAGGAGAATGACTATATTTCATGTCTTTCTGCCATGAGGAGTAATTTTTTCTCCCATTCTGGGAACCACATCATCAAAAACTTGTATAAACATGGGTTTGGGAATCTGAAAGTCCTAAGATTGAGACTTTTACCTGTGGAGTGGTATAAACTTGGATGTCACTTAACATTTCCAAGCCTGTTTTCTGACCTGTAGCTGAGACTAACAATAGTGCCCATCTGTGGGATTAATGCTGTGAAGGGAGTGACTGCGATCACAGAAACCCATGCTTGGCTATTGTTCTCTGCACATGCTGTGGTTGGCTCATGGACCTGATCAGACACAAGGAAGACTATGTGTGTGCAAACAACAAATGGCAGAGAACTAGAATCATGGATGGCAGGATGGATCTTGAATCAGAAAGACCTTGCTTAATGCCCCATCCATTCCTAATGGAGAAGGCTACTGGGATTTGGAAGGAAGGAGTGGTCTCCTATCATGTGTGTAAGCGGAGACCACAGTGCCAGGACACAAGTAAAGGGAATTTAGGTTTAAGTTGGGTAGTAGGGTGGATTTATAAAAACTATAAATTTGGGGGCCTCCCCTGGTGGCATAGGCGGTTGAGTGCCACGCTGTGAAGCTGTCCACAGCCTCTGCAGCACAAATTCAATCCTGGATGGCCGGGGAGATACCCACATGGCGCAGCAGACCTCTCCTGTCTCCACCACTGCTCCCTTCAGCAGTCAGTCTGCCTGTTCTGCTCCCCACTCTGCCTCTGGTGAATCCTCTCACCCTCCCGCATATATGACCTGTACCCCAGTTCTTTATGCATGAATAATTAATCTTTAAATATATATAAATAAAAAATAAAATAAAATAAAAACCATAAATTCAAATGCCTATGAGGCCAAATGACTAAAGTAAAGAGCAGAATGGGCTGGTATTGGAATAGGGGATAATGGAGGCTGTTGGAGAACTGGAGGCACTTGTCTTACTTCAGGCTGTCTTCAACCTGGAGTTGTCTTCATGAAACATTGCAGAGCTCCTTCAACTCCTTCTGGCTCAAACATCCTGTTACTCTGGTCTATATTTCCCCCTGGTATTTATCTGGAAACACTAAAAGAAACTTGCTGATTTGCTTATGAATGTTTGGTCTGGGGCCTCCCTGGTGGCACAAGGGTTTAAGTAAGGAGCAGCACTATGAAGCTATCTGCAGCCACTGCAGCACAAGTTCAATCCTCTGCCCACCAGGGTGGTGACCCACATGGTACTGCAGACCTCTCTTGTCTTGCCCACTGCTCCCATCAGCAGTGTATTTTAGTCAGTCCGCCTGTTCTGCTCCCCAGTCTGTCTCTGGTGAATCCTGTTACCCCCTCCACTCCCACACCACTGGCCTTTACCCCAGGTCTTGCATGCACAAACAAATAAATATTAAAAAAAAAATCTGTCTGTATTGTTTTATCTCTTTGGACTATATTAGGCATTCAATAAACATTCAATATACAAAGCACTGAATGAAATCAAAGAAAAACCAAGCATCTCATTCAAAGGTTCCAACAAACAAGAAGCTGATTTAGTTCTCCTCCACTAGGATTGAACTGGTCCCTCAGTAGTGGCTATGGTATAATATCTGGGAATTACAAATAACTAAGGATTTCACTAGAAGGCGAGGTCAGCAAGAGATGTGCTCTTTATATGAGGGATTTCAAGCAGATCTGAAGAGATAATTCTCCAAAGAAGACACCCAAATGGCCAACAGGCTCATGAAAAATGCCTGTCGCCACTTATCATCAGGAAAATATAAATGAAAACCACAAAAAGGTAACATCTCACCATGTCAGAAAGAATAGAAACAACAAATGTTGGTGAGGATGTGAGGAAAAAGGAACCCTCCCACACTGTAGGGAGGAAGTAGACTGGTTCAGGCCCTGGGGAAAACAGGGAGGTTTCTCAAAATATTAAAAATGGATCTACCATATGATCCAGCAATACCACTCTTAGGTATCTATCTAGAGAACACAAAAAACACTAAGTTGAAAAGATATATGCACTCCTATGTTCAGCACAGCACTATTTACAACAGCCAAGATTTAGAAACAACCTAAGTGCCCAAAAACCGATAAGCTGACAAAGAAGATACAGTCTTTATTACATAATGGAATAATACATAGCTATAAAAAAGATGAAATCTTACCACTTTTGACAACATGGATGGAATTAGAAATAAGTCAAAGGAGAAAGATAAATACCTGATGAGTTCATTCATATGTGGACTACAGAGGAAACAAAAAAATGACCAGACAAAACCAAAACAAAACAAAATCTAGGAATTGACTGCAGAGCTGAGGTCAAGGGGTAGAGTTGAGCAAAGAGGAAGAAAATCAAGGAGGGTTATTGATATTTGAAGATCTGTGAACTTGAACTCCTAAAACTTAAAAAGTGATGTAAACCAATATTACCTCAATCAAAAATTTTGTTTTAATTTAAAAATTTGTATAGATATATTCTAGATTTTTCAGGATTCAGAGTTAAAGATGGAAAGTTCAGGAGGAAAAAAAAAAAAGGACAGCGAATTTTTTTTTTTTACTAGAGTAGAAGCATCCAAAGGCATTGACACAAGCCTTCTGACCTACCTGAGTTGCTGCAGCTTATTCCTCAGGCATAAATACTCTAAAGTGGGGAGGAGGTGAAGAGAAAATAAACATGTCAGCCAAAGAGTTCATGAGATTTTTGTCCAAACAAGAATGTTATTTCTGCTATTATTGTAACATGAACAAAACCTATACAGAGGTCAGAGGCTGAAAAATAAATTAAGAAAGACATTAAAAAAAAAGAAAAAGTAAGGGGAAAAGAAAAACACAGACTGGACCCATGCCTGGTTAAGTCCTTTGGAATCTGTAGGACCTATGCATGCCCCTTGCAGTTAAGTGTCTCCTGTTCATTCATGGTTTAGGATGTCCACCCAAGCACCCTGGCTTGCTTTAATGAACTGCTAACCCATTCTGTTTAATTTTAAAATAGGAGGCTGTGGTTCTTTCATAGGTGGCAGCTTACACATACACCACACATATCACACCACATACACACCCCACACAATGCCAGACACACCACACTACACCCACACATACCCACACAGCATACACACCAAAGACACCACATTATCCACACAAAAACACACACACTACACCCACACCATACCATATACACCACACTAAACCCATGCACACACACTATACATACCAAATGCACCATACCACACAACACACACAGTACACCCACACCACGCATGCTCACCATACTACACACACACACTTTCAAAGCACTTTGTTCAGTCCTAGCCCTTTGCCTCTTCTGTTAAGGGGGTGTTAATCTCACATAACCCCTCATGGGACTGGAAAGGGGACAAGAAAAGTCTTCCTCATTACAACAATTTGTTGTCTTCCAAATCCAAACTCTACCTGATAAACTATTACTTAGGATTCAGTTTCTCCTATGGAGAGTTTAAATTTCATTTGTATTGTGACAAGTCAATGATTTTAAGGGAAAAAGAATAAAGTTAAGAGCCAGGGAAGTTACACAAAACCCAATTCACAAGCCATATGAGCTACTTGAATGCAGGCAGCTGGTCCTGACCCTTGCCTGTCCCCAGGGGCACAGTCCTGAAATGACTTACTTTTGGCAATCTTGACAAACAAAAGGATGAGCAATACCGCGATGATTATACTGACAATGATGGTGATCAACTTAGAGGTGATGGTCCAGGAATTCTTTGCTGGCAACACACGCTGAGGAAAGATCAGAGGATCAAAAAAAGCATCTTGTTAGTTATGGGGAAGAAATGCTTCCCAAAGAGCACATCCACACATGTTTGTCTTGCCTGGCCCTTGGCTGCTCCTGGATCCTGAGGGTAAGTAGGTGGCGAAGGATGTAACCAGAGGGTAGAGTCCCAAGACAATTCAAAATACAAGATGTGCTTTGGGATGGTGAGAATGCTTTCAGATCTTGCTTGGGTGGTGTTTGCATACATGTATAGGTTTGTCAGACCTCAAATTGAACACTTCAAGTGGGCACACAGTATTACATACAAATTATACATATTTTCAGAAGTCAATAAGTGACTTCCTTAAATAGACCCTTTTATGATATTAAAAAAGAAAAAAAATTTTGTTCATCTGTAAGTTGGCTTGGTGATGTTGTCTGATGTTTTCCAATATGCATCCAATCATTGAATTTGGGACTTGAATACAGACCTTATTTTCACTATAATACAAGATTCTAAACTCTGATTATATAAATGGACCTGAAAGTGGCCACTCACAGACATGACCCTGAATAACAATTAACTTAAATGCTGTGCAACTGAGTAAAAATGAGACTTTTATTTAATCTCCTAGGGCAGTACATAAAGCACCACTGCCTCCTGGAATAAGCTCGAAATAAGCCAGGCATCATGCTTGAACACTTTCCATGACTTAGGTCTAACCCCCAAGCATTCCCACAAGGTAGGGACAGTGGAAGATCAGAGAGCGGGTCAAGGCTGTCCTCATGTAGAAGATTAATCTCTGGAGTTAGAAACACAACTCTTCTACTTAGTAGTTACTGTGTGACCTGGACAAGTTATTTAACCTCTCTGAATCTCTGCTTCTGTGCCTGTCCTCTGCAGCTTAAATCAGGTTCTTGGGAAAGGCCAAGTCTATTAACATTAGGAGGAAAAGGAAGAGGCTAACTTAGCATTTGAATCATCCTAGTTTAAGGGCAGAATGGCAGGGGTCTGGGAGGAAAAACTATCGCAATCCCCCTATCTACTGGGGTAAAATGGCTAGAAGGAACACATGTTGAGGAAGCCGACCTTGCTTTCACTTTTTAAAACATTCTGTTACATGAAAACTGCATGTTCATTTTGGAACGTGCACTTCAGTGTAAAGATAGAAAAACAAAAATGAATCTTGACCCTAACATCCAAAAATAACCACTATTACTGTTTTTCCTTATACATTCTTCCAAAATGTTTTCCTTCTGCTGTTTTTCTTAATATATTAATATATTCAGAAGCTTGACTACTACCTCACATCATGCACAAAAACCAACTCAAAATGGATTAAAGAACTAGACATAAGACCTGAAACCATAAAATATATAGAAGGAAATATAGGCGAAACACTACATGACATGCACCTCAGACATCTTTACAGACGCATCACCCAAAGCAGTGATAGTGAAGGCAAAGATCAACATCTGGGACTACATCAAATTAAAGAGCTTCTGCACAGCAAAAAAGACAATAGCCAAAACTAAGTGAAACCCCACCAACTGGGAGAAAATTTTTGCACCCAACACTAATTATAAAGGACTGATCACAAAAATCTACAAAGAGCTGATGAGACTCAACAACAACAAACAAAATAATCCAATCAAAAAATGGGCAGAAGAGCTAAAAAGAAACTTCTCTGAAGAGGAAATGCAAATGGCCACCAGGCATATGAAAAAATGTTCAACATCACTTGTCACTTGCAATCAGGTAAATGCAAATCAAAACTACAATGAGATGCCTTCTCACACCAGTGAGAATGGCACATGTTAAAAAAAACTAGCAACAACAAATGTTGGCAAGGATGTGGAGAGAAAGGAACTCTCCTGCACTGCTGGTGGAAGTGCAAACTGGTCCAACCACTATGGAGAGCCTTGTGGAGATTCCTCAAACTATTAAAGATAGAGCTTCCATATGATCCAGCAATTCCACTCCTAGGTATTTACCCAAAGGACGCAGAAACATTAATTCCAAAGGGCACCTGCATCCCTGTGTTTATAGCAGCACTGTTTACAATAGCTAAGCTTTGGAAACAACCCAAATGCCCAAAAATAGATGACTGGATCAAGAAGATGTGGTGCATATACACAATGGAATATTACTCAGCATTCAAAAGTGATAAACACAGGCAACATGGATGGTGCTGGAAGGGATCATGCTCAGCAAAATAAGCCAGAAAGAAAAAGAAAAATACCAGATGGTCTCATTCGTAACAGGAATCTAGCAAACCTAAATATGGACCAGGAAAAGAATAACTATAAGAAAGGAAAAAAATCAAAATCAACAAATAACTATGAAGCAGAGACACTCTTTGGGAGGGTGGGGAAAGGAGGGATTGGGGTCAAAATCGGGGTTGCAGTTGTATGGGGAATACAAAAATTAAAAAAAGTAAAAAAAAAAAAGAAAAAAGTACAAAAAAATAAATAAATAAATCTTTTAAAAATATATACTAATATATTCAAAACAGATTAACAGAATATATACTATTTTAAAAGTTTTTTCCATATAACGTTAACAGTCACTGTCTTCCCAAGTCAGTAAGTGTACTGCAGTAACTACGTTCTATGCAATCTACAGGCCTGCTTTGCAGGCTAATGATTCCCTGATTCTTGTTGGTAACATTTCAAAATTACTAATGGCAGCAATGAATATTCTTTTTTATACAACTTCATGTCTTTTTTCAACATTCTCCTTAAGACAGAGTCCAGAAAATTGACCTACTAGGTTGAAATACAAGCCAGTGTTTTTCAAGAATCCTGGAGGCATCTTGAAGTGCTCAGTTAAGGCACAAAAAGCCAATGACTTCCCCCTGCCTGTCCTGGACTTGCTTCTAAATTGCTTCTACTTGCTGCTAACACCTATCTGCAGGTAACTGAGGTCAAAAACACCCCCACTTTCTGAATGGTTGGTGATTTTCATACGCAATGTAAAAGTCACACTACACAGTGACATGGCCCTTGCATTGTGGCAGCCTGGATACTCAGTAGGCAACTGCAAATCCAGCCCACAGCCATCAGATCCACCAGTGCCCATGCTAGACAAGTGCTTGCTGCCACTCCTCCAGCTTGGCCTTCTCACTGTCAATAAGGCCTTTTGCCCCCACTCTCAATAATCCCACCAGGCCTGAACGGATGCCCCCTTACTATGGCACCTTCTCACATCTCACTGGTTGTGATCAGAAGGATTATCTCAAACTTCAAACTGCTTTTGCTTCCAAGAGTTATTTACATATCATTAACAAACAAACAAAAAATGGAGTTTCTCCTAAGGGAGCCAAAAGAAAATGTCCTATTGAAAAATTGGCCCAACTTATTCATCAGGAGGAAACTTTGAGAAGCATCATGAAATGAGGGCCCCTTAGATTTTTCTCAAGCTTACTGGGAAAATGTGAGAACATCTTACAGAATCACAAAGTGGTGTAACAGCTAGATACCTTAACAAGTCATTGCATAGGGAGTGCCCTCAAAATCTCCATATAGGATGACATGTGGCTTCTAAAAAGATATTAGGGGGCATACAGGCACCCTTTCACTGACGTATTTTTGTTGCAATGGCCTCCACTTTACAGCAATTCAAAGCATGTCATTTCCTTAAAGACAATTGAAGTTTTCCTTGGTGGGCTATATTAACTCATTCTCCTTAAATTAGTTCATTTTTTTTTTTTTTTGCAATGTTTGGCCAGGAGAAGCCTATAGTATGGTATGTGTGTGTGTGTGTGTGTGTGTGTGTGTGTGCACGCACGCATGTGTGTGTAAAGTAAAATATAAGTAATCAAGCATCTGATTAGTTGAATCTGGTCCACTTAGGGAACCCTCGTACGCTGTTGGCAGTATAGACTGGTCCGGCCACTATGGAAAACAGTATGAACATTTCTCAAATATTAAAAACAGATCTACCATGTGATCCAGCAAGTCCACTCCTAGGTATCTACACAAAGAATGCAAAAACACTACTCAAAGGGATATAGGCCCTCCTATGTTCATTGCAGCCCTATTCACAACAGTCAAGTTATGGAAACAACCTACATACCGAAGGACAGAGGAGTGGATTAGAAAGTTGTAGTGCATAAATATACACATACACACACATATACATACATACATAATATACATCATATATATATATATGATGGAATACTACTCAGCTATTAAAAAAAAAAGATAAAATCTTGCCATTTGCAATGACATGGAGGGAACTGGAGATTATACTAAGAGAAATAATCCAAAGGAGAAAGACAAATACCAGAGGGTTCCACTGATATGTGGAATATAAGGAAGTAAAACAAAGGGTCAGATAAAACCAAAGCAGTAATAAACCCCAGAAATATGACAGTAGAAATGAGACAACCAGAGGGGAAAGGGAGTGAGAGCAAAGTGGGGTGGAGGCACAATGGACTATAGTGGAGGACTTTGGATGCCTTCGTGTTTGGTATGGTGTGGTAACTTGTATCCAAAAGGTGTGATCCTATATCTTGGGATAATATACATATTGTTACCTCAATAAAGAAATTGATTTGCCTATGAATTAATTAATTAAAGCCTCCCTACTTAACAGTCAAATTCTTTTCTTTCTCTTGTTTGTTTTTTGAGACTAGATCAATATGTGGGTTGGTTTTGCAGAAGTAATCTCTAAATGTAACTTGCATCCAAGGAGATATACAAGAGAATCTGGCTAATAAAATAGGAAGGAATATGCTTACAGTTTGATTGGTATGCCAAGGGCCATCTGAAGACTGTGTCACAGTGCCATTCCCATCTGCTCAACAAGAAGGAAAATTAATTAAAATTACAAAAAATATTGAATTTCCACTGCAGACACTAAATATATTCACATTGCCTTCTGGCGATGAATGAAAAGTTGAATAATAATGTGACCAAATGCTGCGGGCATAGCAAGAGCCCTATCAGGTGGCCAGCAGTTATTCATTTATCCTTCGCGTTGTGCTTCTTAACCATTTTTCATGGACCCTTCATAAACAGCCCCTCTTTTCTTCTTTATGGAAACACGTGCATGCACACAAAGTATTCAGGGAAGTCACACAAGCTTGGAGTGGGAACTTTTAAAAATGTCACCTAAAGGTAGGGAATCATGGCAGCTGTGAATGTATCCATCAGTGCCCAGAGGCCATACACACCCAGAAACCAGAACCCCCTCATACAGAATGGACACTTCATTGGTGTTACAATCAGAACATGAGTAAAATATAAACGACTGGTTCCTACAACTCCTATTTTCTATGCCGTGTGTCTAGAAGAGGAACTCTAGTAGGTATCTGTTGTAGCAACCTCAAAACCAACAGGCATTACACCACCTCAATCCCATAAAGGATATGACGCCTTTCTATCTTGAATGTTCCCATCGCAAGGGTGTTTTTGAAAACCCTATGTGTAACACAGGACATTTGAGTTGACCTTCTTAGGCAACCACAGGTCAAATACAGAATTCTCTTTTTACAGAGACTCTCCCCTCTACTAAGCTTTTGACAGCTCACAGCAACTTCTCCCAGACCATTCTCATAAATGAGGAAACAGCTGAATGGGAAAACAAAGTGCCCATTCCAGGACAAGAAGCTCTGCTCAGGACTGCCACGTGCTGCAGTCCCATGAAATGAAAACTCTGTAGGTCTACAAGATATCCCACCAGGCAAGGCTACAGAACCTCATGGTGATGAAAGTGGACTGTTCATCGTCCCCTCCCCAAATCTTTACATTTTCTCTGTTTACCTTTTACTTAGTTTGAGACTACTTCTCAGCCAAAGGTAATATTAACCTAGGTTCAGGCAATAACTACAGTGTAGGTTGTGAGTGGCTAGTGCTATGACCGTCAGTAAGTCCTCCAGGTCTGGAACCGCAAGAACTTGAGTCAGCTAAAATTTGAGTTCAATACTGACAATGCCCTTAAGCCATGTGACCTTGATTGGAGTGTGTGTATGTATGTGTGCGTGTGTGTGCATATATGTGTGTATATGTAAAAATAAATGCATGCAATATGTGTTTATTTCTAGGTGGGGTAACCTTGAGATCCAAACAATTAACAGTACCCATCTCATAAAGTTGCTAAATTTGATAATGCACATAAAGGACTTATTATGTGAGGGAAACACCACCTATTATGAATTACTATGACATGATAAGGAGAGAAGCCCCAAGGTAGAACACCTCCTTGGGAAGTACAATGCACTTTGCAAACCTCTTTTCCTTCAGTCATCACAAACTTCTGGTGGGAAAAGGAACAACTTCCCCACACGCACACAGCTAGTGAGTGGAAGTTGAATTGGAGACTGTCAGTCTCCAAAGCAGAACCGTGGGGTCTCCCTTATGTGGCAATGGCAAGAAGTAAGAATTGAATTTATGTATTGAAAGAATTAAATTTAATGGCCCACGTGATCATGTCCCGGCCCCTGCATGTGTCCGTGGGTGAGGACCGTGTGTCTTCCCTGTCCCTTTCAGTCCCACATTGTTGGCTTCCAGGAGGCACCTACTCCCTAGAGACTGACTCGGGAACAGTGAGGATTTGGCTTCAGCATCTTAGACACTCCGCCAAGAAGACGGCAGTCACCAGAACCAGGGACACAGATGCTCTGGTGTCTGTTCCACTCTGGAAAGCTCTACCTTGACCAGGTTTCAGTGACATGGTATTTCAGAGAATGAGTCCACCACGCCTACTGCCTTGCTCCTCACTCCCTCAGCGTGTGGGGTACAGCTGAGCTGGCTGCTTTTCCCTTGTGTTTTTATCTATTTTCACTTGTTTTTGTGCCCAGAAACAGTCCACAAAAAGGATTCCATGTTCAAAACCAAATGTCACCATGATCTCATCCCAGCCCTCTGTGATTCTCACAGCAGGGCCACTTTAAATTAACCAGTTCCCAGGAACGCTTGGCCAAAGGGGGGCCATGCAGGGGACCCCCACAGACTGTCCAGCCCTGAGGACAATGAGTCAGACAAGACACAGGAGGAGTCTTGCCCAGCCTGACCTTGTCTGGATTCAGCAGAGGTACAGGGACCCACAAAGGAGCTTTGCATTACAAAGGGGTTCAGCATGGCACTCCCCAAACTTAGGGCTATGGGGCAGAGTTCTCTGGGAAAGATGACAGAATTCAGCATTGCCTTTCTCCACCACAGGAAAGAGTAGGGATTATATGGGACCTGCCCAGAATGGAGAAAATGGGGAGGGGGACACGTGGAATCTGGGGAGGGGGAAGCAGGGCCTCATTGGGACACACCTCTGCGTGCTGGGGTGGATGGCTTCAGCCAGTCTCAGAGTGGTTTGCACCAGCCTCACAAGGCAAAGAGCTTCCTGGCTGTGTTCATGGTATGAAGCTTAGCTAAAGAATAAATATAGGTGACCACTTTGGTCTGGATACTAGAGGGCTGGATTTAACTATTTTAAGGTCCTAAACACCAGGGAGCAAGTCCAGTACTAACTTTGTCCTCAGAACTAGCTTATTTGTTTTAGAAAAATGGGGATACACATGCAGACATTCCCAAATCCTCAGGCTACCTAGTCCAGGCACACTTACGAATTCTGAATACTCGAAGAGTTAGAGCTACAAGTGTATCTATCACTTACTGCCTTTTAACTATGTCTTAATTCTTCACCTCATTTCATCCTCACAAGCATTCTACAAGATTGGTGGTATGCCAGCCATTTTACAAATGACAAAAACAAATTCAGAGAGTGTAAGTCATTTGTTCAAGTCACACCGCTGACTAGACTCCAGGATTGACACTCAAGTCAGATCTGTCTTATTCTAGATTATGGGCTCTCAACAATATGTCAATGGTTATCAAAAATGGAATGCTTCCAGGTGTTGAGGAAAGGAGATGAAGTTACCTGTCTGGCAAGAGCACAGTGTGGAGCTGGTAGACTGTGAGGTGCTGGTTTCCAGCGGCGTGGTTGACTGGGTTTCTGTTGGTATCGGAGAAGGTGAACTAGCTAGAGGAATGAAAAGAATGGAAGAATTGTGTTCTATTGTGGAGAAGGACAAGATTTTTTTAAAAACCAAAGTGACAAATAATCATCAACTTGCCATCCTGACTCCACCCAGTTCCCTTGAAGGCACCCTCTTATCTACCCACTTCCTGTTGCTAAAATCCCCTATTACAAATTTACTGGAAGGGGGCCTTGAAGTGTCTTGTAATCATCTTATAGGTATTTCATTATCATGAAGAAATCTCATCCAGATAATGATCTGGATGGTTTATCAATTGATTGGACCTTAACACCCTAGCTCCTTCTGACCAGAGACTCATCTTCCAGTTCTCACCAAAAAGTGGGTGAGAAATCACCCACTTTTTGAAATCACTTTCTTTCTTGAAATCACTCCTTTAACTGCTCTCAGGCATCTCACCTTCCCTTCCCTGAAGAGGAGATCACTAGCTGCTTCACTGGCTCTGTTTTCCTTCCTCTGAGAGCATGACTGAAGTGTAGAGCAAGTTGGAGGTGCTGGAAGGACAAGTGCTCCTAAGCTTCCCTGGCTTCTCATCAGTCTCTCAGATTCCCCTTCCCTGCCGTGGTCTTTACATTTCAACATCACCTTTTCTCATTTCTGAACTGTTTCCCTGTTTTTCTCTAAGCCTGAACATCCAACCAGGAGGTGATTCTCTTTAAGAACTAAAAACAGGATAGCTGGGCCCCCACCCTGGTGCCCTAAGGGTTAAAGTCTCAGCACTATCAAGTTCTCACCACAATGCCTGAGTTTGAACCCTGGCCAGAGAACTAACCCACACATGGCACAGCAGACCGCTCCTGTCTTGCCTACTGCTCCCCTCAGCAGTGTATTTCAGTAGATCCACCTGTTCTGCTCTCCACTCTGTCGTTAGTGAATCCTCTCACCTCCCCACACTACTGGCCTATACCCCAGTTCTTCTATGCAAAAATTAAAATAAATTAATTAAAGAAAAAAATAAAGAACAGGACAGTTCAAAAAAGCATATGACCAGGGTCTTTACTCAACTTAGATCTGTGCCAAAGACCATTTGAGCTTAGCTTCTTTCCCAAGTTTGGGTCTTTGTGGGCATCTATCTTGTTTTCTCTGCTCCTTCAAACTTACATCCAACATCATGTGGATGTTTGTGGCAAGTAGTAGGTACTAGAGGCCCCATAAAGAAGGATCAGATGTAAAGATAAATGCCCCTGCACTGGATTGGCTCCATTGTTCTCCCTGTTCAACAATAGCCTCAAAAGCTTTAGGAAAACTATCAGGATAAGGCTCCATTAATTCCATCTCGCAGGAGGTCACATGCATCTATAAAGCAAGACTCTTCTGAATCTCTGCTTTAAACTAAGTCAATCACTTACGCATGTTCGCCCAGCCTCCTGCGCTAATCCGGCGAATCCATCCACCTTCCCAGGCACAAACTATGTATTAAGAAGCTGAATCAACATGGAGAAAGTCAATAGATTCTCCAGTGTGCTCATCTGCCTGGAACAAAGCATTTTTCTTACAAACTTTTATTGCTTTAAAACCCCAGTTTTAACCCAAAGCCCTTTCTCCGAACTCAGCTCTGAGCCCAGTGCTTCAGGTCCCTGCTGGCTAAATATACACACGGTTGAATGGGCGCCGAGGGAAATCAATGTGTTCCATTCAATTGTTCTGGTGAAGGGGTAGTGACATTTCTGTTATTCCTTGGAATCCAGTCACTTCAAGGGGTCAAAGGGCTTGGGAGGCTTTGAGAAACTCCCCAAAGTTCTCTTTTTTTCATCTTAGAAATAGGTTTAAATCTAAATGTGTCCTCCGAATGACAAACTATTATATCCTCCACAAAAACATCCAATTATTCTCCGTTTTTTGTGTTAAATCTGAATTCTTGTCTGTCAGTAACTGGCCGTATGAGCCATGTGGCCTGGACTGAAAAAATGGACATGTATGTTATAAATCCCTGAATCCCTTCAATCCGATGTTTACTTTTCATCCGTATAAATACCACCTTTTGCAACTTCTAGGCTACATAAATAAGTGAAAGCAGGTTAGAGTGAAACTGTGCAAGTCATTGATTGCTCTGAAAAGATGGAGTGATTCTATTGATAAAAAGGCATTTTCAGCGAGGATGGCAGATCAAGACAAACATCTCAACATAAGCTCAGGGTCTGTGAAAACAGCACAACCCAGTAGTTAAAGCACAGGCCCCAAATTCAAGTTAATGGAGGCTGAATGCCCACTTGACCACTTGTTATGCGGATGAGCTGCAACACTGAACTTAGATCCAGGGCCTGGGTTTCCAAGGTGACAACTTAGGGCTGATCCACACCCCCCAAGCACAGGGCTGTCGGCTGTCGGAAGAATTAAATGACAATACTGGTAAAGCCCTAAGCGTGGTCCCTGGCACACAGGAAACAGAGTTACTGAAATCTCATTTTCAAGTGGAGGGTCCCCTTCACACTGGAGTAAGTGACCCCTACTCAGAACTCCTGGGAAGCACAGGATGGTCCTCATCTGAGCCCAGGTCTCTGGCACTCCCTATTGTTTCCTAATAAATTTGGGGTCCACGGAACCAAATCCACATCTTCACTACATGTCCAAGAGCAGTAGCCTGACCTTGTATTTTCTAGGGGGCTAATAATGAATCCCTTTGATAACCGGACAAGAAGCTATGGTCACGCTCACTCTAAAAATGTACAAAGTGCAGATATTTTGGGTAGGGGGTTCACAGACCTGTGAAGCCCATGATGGGAGCCCAGATAAGAAACCTGACCTGGATTGTCCCTCTGCCTTAACACAATGCCCTCAGTGGTCTACATTGCCTCGCTGGAAGACCTCTGGGCACAGAAACACAGTGCTTTACCTGGCTTGAGGTTCTGCGTGGGTGTTGGCGTTGGAGGAGCAAAGGTGGAGACCCTAGGTGACGTTGGAAGGCTGGTGGTTCCAGCTGGAGTCAGAAATCAATATGAAGTAAGGATTAGTCTGATAGCAGGAAATAGTCCAAGAGCACCCCAGAGAGACTCTCCCAGGCAGGACTGGGCCCTTCTGTCCCAGGAACTCAGAGTTCCTCTCCTAGGTCATCAGACACCATGACTCTGAAGGTATATAGACAGGCCCACAAAAAGGAAACAGCTGTATTGAAATGCATATGTTTGAGGTTGAGAATTGGAAAATGATACCTGGGATTTGCATTGAAGCTCTTTGCAAAAACTAGCCATGCATATCAGACTTCTGTATCTTCATAAACATCTGTGCAGGAGGGGAACTGGCTACCACCTGGAACTGTCTTTGTCCTACCCTCAGTGGTGAATGACGAAGAGTTAGACCTTAGCTCTCAGGCCCAAGAATTTACCAAATAATAGTATTTGGTGCAGTCGTCTGCTGGCCAAGGGGAGGAACAGAAGGTTCCTGCATTTGGCTAGAAGGGGCCATAGGTGATAACTTCAACTCATGTCAGTCGGAAGTGGCAAAGGACCCCAAACCACCTACTAAAGCTCTCAGAGCTCCCCAGAGAGAAAGCTGAAATTATAATTAAGTTCAACACTGTATCTGATACACAAGCAGAGTCAATGAAGGACCGAATCTAGATTACTTTTTTTTCTCACCAGACACATTTTTTCCCTGCAAAAAGTTTCTTAAATCTCAACACTACTAGCTATAAAAGAAGACCTCAGGTCCCAGCATAGGGGATAATTGTTTTGAAGACACTTACCAAGCATGCAATTTCATTTGAAATCTACTCAAGTTTTGCCTTTAAGAGGAAAAATTTTTTTTTCCAATAAATTTTGTTTCTATCCCATACACAGCATTAGTCTGAAGCAGAGGTTAGCAAAGCTTCTGTAAAGGACAGAGAGTAAATGTTCCAGATTCTGGGGTCCTGTGGTCTCTTGTAATCACACAACTCTAGGTGGGAAACAGCCTTAGACAATATAGATACCAATGAAACTTTATTTATAAAACAGTTGGTGAGTCTCTTTTGTTATCTAATACAGCCCAGGTGACAGTTTGCTGACCTTGTTTTATTTTATTTTATTTTTTAAAGATTTATTTATTTGTTTATACAAGCACTGGGTACAGTCAGAAGCGCGGGAGGGTGAGACAATTCACCAGAGCCAGAGCGGGGAGCAGAACAGGCAGACTGATGAAATACACTGCTGAGGGGAGCAGTGGGCGGCAGGAGAGGTCTGCGCGCCATGTGGGACCCTCCTCAGGTGGCCGGGGAGCAGCCGGGGATCGAACCGGCACTGCAGAGGCTGCAGGCAGCTTCGCAACCCAGTGCTCAACCGCTGCGCCACCGGGGAGGCCCTTGCTGACCTTGTTTTAATGTGTAGTCAGAGGCTTTTAAGAATCCTATCCAATCCCCTCCCTCCAGTTTAAAATCCAGGCAAGGATCAAGAAGATGTGGTACATATACACCATGGAATATTACTCAGCATTCAAAAAAGATAAACACACGCAATTTGCAGCAACATGGATGGCGCTGGAAGGGATCATGCCCAGCAAAATAAGCCAGAAAGAAAAAGAAAAATACCGGATGGTCTCACTCATAGCAGGAATCTAGAAAACTTAAATAAGGGACCATGAAAATGAATAACTATAAGAAAGTGAAAATCAAAATCAACAAAAAACTATGAACCAGAGACACTCTATGGGGGTAGGGGGCAGGAGGGGAGGGTTGGGGTCAAAATAAAGGGGTTACAATTGTATGGGGAATATAAAAATAAAATTTATTATAAAAAAAAAAGAAAAAATGAGTACAGAAGAATTATACCTTAGTATAATAAAGGCCCCATATAATAAATTCATAACCAACATCATACTTCATGGTGAAAAGTGGAAAACTTTTTTAAAATCTGGAGCAAAACAAGGATGTCCACTATCTCTACTATTATTGACCATAATACCAGAAGGCATAGATAGAGCAATTAAATAAGAAAAAAAAGGCATCTATTTTGGTGTATTTTTCTCTTTTCTTTTTGAACAAAGAAACTTTATTAGAGGGTCATTTTATTTTACACCTCAGTTTGCTTAAAGTGAGTTTCCAAGAATCTATGGAAGATGTGAGAATTTACTGTGCTCTACTTTAAGGTGGCCAATGATACGAGGGTAACAACAGTTATCAATCGCAACAATAGTGATAAAATAATGCAACAAATGTTAAATAATAGGAAGATTTTTCAGCAAAGGTGGAATGTTCTGGAATTTATAAAATGTATGGAATTTCATCAGGTAGGTAGAGAGAAGAAACAAAAGAGTATAAACAGCAATGATGGACAAGTTCTCTGTTATGCCTCTCAAGAGTCAACATAGTTCCTATTGTGCTTTTTAGCTTTGTGAGTACCCTGAATGGTCAACTCAAAAATTAAACTTGCAAACTTTAAAAAAATAAATAAATAAAATAAAATCCAGGCAAAGGATTGATACTGACGCCGGCCTCAGTTTCCCTCAGTCAATAAATGGAAACAGAGTTTGAGGAAAAGCAAAGTGGTTTAATTTGTTGACAAATGAGGAGGGTAGCAGACTCACATCTGAAAGACAACCATCCTCTCCTTTGGCAGAGTGCAGGGATATTTATTCAAAGGGGAAAAAGGGAAGGTGGGCTAGGGTCTGCAAAGGGAAGGGGGAAGGAGTCAGCATGGAGACAGGTGGGCACCAGCTTGCTTTTTTCCAACCACTGCTGTTTAACTCCTTTTCTTTGGAATGCAAGAAGACAAACCTGTCAAACAAGAGGGAAATTGCAAGAAATATGGGAAAGACAAACTTGTTAATGCTTATCTAAGAGACTGGTCATAAAGAAGGCAAACTTGTCAAATGGGGAAACATTGCAAGAGAGGGGAGAAGACAAACTTGTTCATTCTTATCTGCAAGACCAGCCATTTGTAACTGCATCAGGATGAGGGACAAAAGCAAGCATGAAAACAGTCTGCCCCAGGAATGATGATGGAAACAATAATCTGGAGGAACCTGCCCTCCCTGCCAGTGGGCGAGACCTCCCTGCTGGCCAGCATGTCCCCTGGAAGAAGTGGGGAAACTACATAGAAAAGCCGTGAGGAAGCAGAAGCAAAGGGTGGGCGAGTGGAGGGATGGTCCCACTTCGCACAGGACCACTCAGGGACTTTGTAAACACCTGCTTCGAAGCACTAGAAAATTCTCCTGTGAGTTTCTTTCTATGTCATTTTCTTCGACTCAGCCACACCAACAATATAATGTCTCATCTCCAAATCAGTCATAACGAATCTCTCCTCGCTTTCTCCTCTGTCTAGAGTGCACAGTATGGCTGGTTTCTCTGGGCTTCTCTAAACTGCCTCCCAGACAGAGTTTCCCTACAGTCAGCTGTTTTCTATGCCAGAATTAACCTTATCTAAGTGTTCTTCAGAAGGGAAACAAACCAAGTCCAAAAGTTAGGAAATTACAAAGTCAAGTTCCCCTTAATTTAAAAGGAGAGACTTGGCTTATTAAAAGTACAGGTATTGGGCCTCCCTGGTGGTGCAAGGGGTTAAGATGCAACTTATGAGGCCGTCTGCAGCCACTGCAGCACAAGTTCCATCCCCAGCCAGGGAGCTACCCACATGGCGCAGCAGACCTCTCCTGACTCGCCCACTGCTCCCCTCAGCAGTGTATTTCAGTCAATCTGCCTGTTCTGCTCCCCACTGTCTCTGGTGAATCCTCTCACCCCCCCGCATCTCTGGCCTGAAACCCAGAGTTTGTATGCATAAATAAATTAATCTTTAAAAAAAAGGTACAGGTATTAAGTCCTATACTCCACATCAGAGTCTCAGGAAGAGCGCCAGGGACCAGGAAATCCTCAAGAACTGTTCCTTTTACCCAATGGCAAGGAAAACTAGGTTGTCCAATCAACAGGGAAAAATGTAAACTTTCCAGATGTGGAGGTTTCATGAAGTTCTTAAAAGCAATTGGGGAACAATTATAGGCATGCACGTTTTCATGTTGCAATATGATCACCTTAATTTTTCAACAAGTAATGCCTGTGATGTGATGTGAAATATGCATGAGGGAACCCCCAGTGTGTGTGTGTGTGTGTGTGTGTGTGTATGTGTGTGTGTGTGTATGTGTGTGTGTGTGTGTTGGAGAGGAGGACCTGAACTCCTATTGCTGATGACCTGATGGCACCCACAAGCTTCAAGCCGAGATGCATCTTAGCCACAGGGCCTCAATGGGCTGATACCTATATTATCCATTTGCAAGTCTCTTCTCCAAAATTGCTTTAAAATGTTAACAAAGGACATTCTAACATCCTTCTAAGACAGTTTCAGTGGGGGAGGGGAGGGACGGGAGGTGGTTCTTTAAGTTGAATAAATTCAGCTTGATATCGTAATGCCCTTTTGTCTTGTTTTTGTAGTTCAACTATATTCTTTCTTACATTCTTTTTGAAATTCATTTGAAAAAACATTCATAATATTTCACTAGGTGATAGTGGCTGCTCTTTCATGCCCCAGTAGCATCTTTGAAGCTCTGCTTTGGGAAGATTTTGGGCTGCCTGGAAAGAGCCTCCAGCCTCAGGTCTTGACTCCAGGTTGGTCTTAACACTTCATGCTCCACAAGTAAAAGCAATTCTATTTCCCAAGAGTTATTGGAGAACACGATTGTAGAAACCTTCCTTTTCTAACCGCAGAAGAGAAAATGACTACCAAACAGAAAACTCTATGTTCGCTAACCCAGGGGAAGGCCAAAGGGAGAAGCAGACATCTCACCTGGTTTGATCTCCAATGACAAGGTGAGCTTCATGTCATTAAACCAGCCCGGGTGCTCCACTCGGCAGCAGTAACGACCACTGTCAGCCTGCACTGCTTTCTCTATGGTCAAAGATACATTCCCGTGTCTGATATTCCCTTTCAGATCGTAACGCATGTTCCTGCGACGAATGACACGGGATCCATCCGTGGAGACGATCTCCTCTGTGCACCAGGAGGAGGGACAGGCCCCTCGGCCCCAGCACATGGTGGTGACTCCAGATGTGGTGGAGTAGGTGCAGGGGAGGGTGACCGGCTGCCCCTCCACCCCCCTCACTGTTGAAGAAGAAACAACAGCACCTGCAAATAGAGAGAAAACAGGTGGGAGAACATGGGTACTACACCTGAGGGGGAAAATCAAATACTGTCCAAAAATAAATGACAATGTAAGAAAATTTTTTAAAATTATAATTATATTAAAAAAGACCTCCATCTTTTCATTTTAAATATACTGTTGCTTTATTTTCTTACATGGTTGAAATGCTTGAGGAGCACATGACTTTAAGTCTTGACTCTTAAAATTTTACTATAAGCATTTTTTGTTATATTGCCCCCCAAAAAGCAAAAAGCAAAAAGATGTTATAGTCTTTATTGGCACCATTTTGTTTGATAGAGTTGTAGATAAAATGTAATTTAAACTTTTCTGTCATTAGGGTTCCTTCCTAATTCCTAAGACAGAAATCAACAGGTGAGAGGGAAGCAATATTTTCAGACTCGATGACTGGGACTGAATTTCTTTCCAAAAGATTTGAATCAAATGACAGTCTGGTCAGCAGCACACTCCTTACCCCGTGTTTACAGCAGCTACATATTCATGATGCACCCATCTCCATGAAATATGTTTGAAAATTTCTGTTGCATTTAAGGTTTCGATTCTCAATTCTTTTTGCAACATTAAAGACTGCTCTTACTAGGCAAGTCACCTCACAACGCCTCTCAAAAAAAAAAAAAAAAAGAAAAAAAACAGCTAATCTCTTGTTTGAGGTATTGTTGTATTGTTGGCTTGAAGGCAAAAGCCTAGTAAACACTTCAGAAAACAAATTTTAGACAATGGGTTTCTAAAACCTCCTGGAGTAGCTGAGGTTTATCATGGGCTTTAGGGTCAGTTCAAAAAAAATCCAAGTAACAATCCTTTCTCCTAACCTGTGACAGCCCACACTGAACAAGGTCCACTTACCCAGGAGAGCCAACAGAAAGGAAGAACATCCACGAGTACTAAGTTATGCCTCTTAGAATATGATCCAGCAGCTCCTCTTGTAGGTATCACCCCCAAAAAGCAAAAGCACTAACTTAAAGGAATATAGGCACCCTCTTTCACTGCAGCAGTATTCACAATAGCCAAGGGATGGAAACAACTTAAGTGTCCAAGGACAGAGGAGCAGATTTAAGATAACGTGGCACATACACACAATGGTAGCATCAGCTACAAAAAAAAAAAAAAAAAAAAAAGGGAAATCTTGCCCTGGAGGTGATGATGCTAAGTGAAATAAGTCAGAAAGAGAAAGACAAATACCAATGATTTCACTTATATGTGGAGTCTAGAAAAACAAGGGGTCAGATAAAAACAAAACAATAACACTTGATATCTGACTAGATATCTGACTATAGAACTGAAGCAAACGGGGAGTAGGGCAAGTGAAGGGGAGAGGGGTCCAATGGACGATGGTGGAGGAGTGTGGGTGCCTTGTTGGTGGGTGTAGTAACAGACATATGAAGAGGCGCCATCCTATACTTCTGAATCACAGACACTGTTATAAACAATGTTGCCTCAATTAAACACAAAAAAGTTTTCAAATAAAAACTACTCTTCTCTGGGTGAAGGTTCTAAAAATATGTTGTCAAGTGTGGAAAAGATAGCACTTAACAGAAATCTGAGATTTCTCTTAACTAACAAACTACTCATACTTGAATGCAGCTATAAGTTTGGGAGATGTTCTGGAAATAAAATGCCTTGTTACATAAAATAGAAATAAACTTTTTCAGGCCTCCCCGGTGGTACAGCGGTTGAGCACTGGGTTGCAAAGCTGCCCTCAGCCTCTGCAGTGCCTGTTCAATCCCCGGCCACCTGAGGAGGGTCCCACATGGCGCGCAGACCTCTCCTGCCACCCGTTGCTCCCCTCAGCAGTGTACTTCAGTCCTTCTGCCTGCTCTGCTCCCTGCTCTGGCTCTGGTGAATTCTCACTCTCCCGCGCTTCTGATTGTACCCAGTGCTTGTATAAATAAAATAAATAAATCTTAAAAAAAAAAAATCTAACCAATCATTTAAAAAAAAATAAAGAAATAAACTTTTTCTAAAAAAAAATGCCCCGTGTTTGGCAATTGGAGAATCTAGTTTTAAACAACTCATGTATCAAATTAAGTAGTAGAAATGATAAATACTTAAGAACGGACACTTAATTCAAATGCTGCATTTCAAAGTTTGTGAAATGCAGATAACTCAGTCTTTGCACACTAAATTTTAGTTCTAAATGTACATATTAATAAAGAAAAAAGAATGAAAAATCATCAACAAATAGGTATTTAAGCAACAAGGATATAATAAAAACAACCACAAGCTATGAACTGAGAGGAAATGACAGCAAACCATAGAGCTGACAAAGAACTTGCGTCTGTATTTGAAAAAGAGTTAGCAAGGGCCAGCATAAAGAATTCTTACAGTTCATTAATGAAAAGAAAGCTCAGTGTAAGTTTTTTTTTTAATTAAAACAAAACATTTTTTCCACTGAAATCCTTTTGTTCATGATGTTTCTTCCTAATCTTATATTTTTAAACTGAAGTACAATTGGTTTACAACAACTTTGTTAGCATTTTGGACATATAGGATCCCCCCTCTTAGTTGTAGTCACCCACCATCCCCATAAAGCACCCAGAGTCCTCCCATATGGTCCATTGTGCTCCTCCTACCTTCCCATCCCTCCCCCCTTCTGGATGCCTCAGATCTATGGTCACCTTCAAGGGCTGGCTTCAAACTTTGTCTTTGTCTCACCCTTTGCTTGGTTTCTCTCTTTTATTTCATTTCACCTAATACCATTTTTAGATTACCAATATAATTTATGCTAGTTATAAAAATCAACTTGTGGAATATAATAAAAAATCAATTCCCCTCCATAATCCCATGTCCAGAAATTTTAAATAAAGAATAAAGAATTTAAATTTTAAATAAAGAATAAGTTCTTTATAAATTTTGGAACAAGTCAATGCCTACATTCCCTTCCCTGCACCCATATCATAAAATGTTTTGAATTAAAATACATCTTTTTTAAAAAGAAATACTTGTACATGAATAAAAATCAATCCATCAAAACGCACAAAATGATCCAAGCAAACCCTTTTTGCCTGACCATTTCTCATCCCCCCTCCCACCCTCTGCTGACAACTGTTTCTATCTCTGAGACTTGCTTGCACAATATCCACCACCCCTTTTCTTTGGAAACACAATGGTAGTAGGTGACACGGCTCCATGTCAGGCCTCCTTCACTTGCCCTGGATTTTGTGACTCAGTGTTGAGGCAAATTCTTTGGGGTAAGACTTCATTTTCTTTACTCATGCACTGAACTTCTAGCCAAGTCCCAGCAGACCCCAGCCCCGCCCTCCCCCCAGCCTTCCCCCCACATCCCTGGGGCTTCTAGCCCCAGCCTACCTATTCACTTACCTGTCAGCAGGAGTAGAAGGCTGGCAATGGTTACCTGCAGATGCATGACGGCACTGACCTAAGCAAAGAGAAAGCAGATGAATCTGTGTGGTCCCGGCAGAAGGTAAGGAGCCGGCCCTGTTCTCAGATTGCCACTTCTCCTTTCAGCCTGAGTAGGGGAATCACATGGGCCTGCTCTCTGGGGAGGAGACTGTGCACATGGCTTCGGGCCCCTTTTGACTCCTGTGGCCCCAGCCACACACAGGCAGCCCATCCTGGCAGGCAGCCCCCTATCCCGAGATAAGTCCTGGTGCTGATGCAGGGAGCAAACAGCCAGGAAACCAGGGGCAGGCTCAGAGGGGGCTACTCCAGCAAAGACCCACTTCCAGGGCCTCCCCTGGTGGCGCAACGGTGGAGCGCTGGGCTGCGATGCTGCCCACAGCCTCTGCAGCACCGGTTCGATGCCCGGCCACCGGAGAGGGTCCCACATGGCTTGACAGACCTCTCCTGCCACGCCCGCTGTTCCCCTCAGCAGTGTATTTCATCAGTCTGCCTGTCCTGTTCCCCGCTCTGGCTCTGGTGAATTCTCTCACCCTCCCGTGCTTCTGACTGTACCCAGTGCTTGTACAAATAAATAAATAAATCTTTAAAAAAAAAAAGAGAGAGAGAGAGAGACCCACCTCCAGGGGCAGAGTTACCCTGGGCCTCTGAGATGGCAACCAGCTGACCTGTATTGGGGTCAGCTAGTTCCTGCTTGGTGGCCACAATGGCCAATCCCCCACTTCCATCATAGAGCCAAGCTTACTATTAGCAAAAATGCAGCAAAAGTGTGAGTGTGAGTGAATCATTGTTTTCTGATCTGCTACAGGAAGCAGTGACTAAGACCCTGGCTTCCCCAGTGACATCAGAAGATGTGTTCAGGGCCTCGCTGGTGGCGCAAGCTGTTAAGCACAGCACTGTGAAGCTACCTGCAGCCTCTGGAACACGAATTCGATCTCCAGCCGGCCAGGGAGCTACCCATATGGCACGGCAGACCTCTCCTATCTTGCCCGCTGCTCCCCTCAGCAGTGTATTTCAGTCATTCCGCCTGTTTTGTTCCCCACTCTGCCTCTGATGAATTTCTCTCACCCTCTGGCTTCTCTGGTCTGTACCACAGTTCTTGTATGCATAAATAAATAAATCTTTAAAAAAAAAAAAAAAAGGAGATGGGTTCACGTCGCAGCTCTGCTACATTTGTAGCTGGGTATTCCTGGGACTTACACATGCCTCTAAGCTTTGATGTCCCCATTCGTAAAATGTCACTAAAAATATTCACTGTCTCTCTCCCAGATCATTATAACAAGCAAAAGGGCCGTGGAGACATTCACAAAGGGAACTTAAATACGCATCACAAATCCTCTCCCAGTGTGGGGGAATTGACGACATAGCTGACTTGGTACCAAGAACCCACATGGTTTAGTCCTCACAGAACCTGGGTCAGCACTGTCAGTACCCCTTCAGGGAGGAAGAAGTTGAGCTTGAGGGGTGAAGTGAGCTTAGACTCCAAACCAGTTCTTCTGACTTCTTCTCTTAATCATTAAGCCACAAACTGTGGAAGCCTGTCAGGTGCTTCATTAACTACCCTCTCCAAAACTCAGTCACTTCCTCCTGGGCAGTGGTGGGGGTGGGGGAAAGGTCTATCTGTAGCCTTTTGTAGCCCCATGACAAGCATCATGGGGGGTGGTGTCCTGGGCATGCTATGGTGAGGGCTTGGCACACACACCCCAAAATGCAAACCCCCTACGCCAGCTGCCTCTGCATTCAGAAAAGGCCCACAAATCCTGATGCTTCAAATTGGTGTCCCCACCACACCCACACTTTCAGATTTCTCCTTTTAATTCTGATCCATGCTGACAGGCCATCTTCTCAGATAGTCTTCCTGTCCTAGCTGACCATCCCACCAGTCACTCTGTGTCATTGGATTCCAGTTCTCTACACAGCTTTTTTTTTTTAAGATCTATTTATTTATTTATACAAGCACTGGGTACAGTCAGAAGTGCGGGAGGGAGAGAGAATTCACCAGAGTCAGAGCAGAGAGCAGAACAGGAAGACTGATGAAGTACACTGCTGAGGGGAGCAGCGGGCATGGCAGGAGAGGTCTGTTGCGCCATATGGGACCCTTTCTGGCAGCCGGGGATTGAACCAGCACTGCAGAGGCTGCGGGCAGCTTTGCAGCCCAGCGCTCAACCACTGCGCCACCAGGGGAGGCCCTACACAGCTTTTATTACCCTTGTGTGTATACATACATAAATTTGCGTGTGTTTGTGCATGTGTGCATATATCTGTGGCATGGTGTCCATCTCTTTCCTCTTGCACAGTACTACCTGCTAAAATGGTCTGTGATTGCAGTTTTTCTACAAGGGTGTGTTATGTGGATCCTTGAAATGCAGCTAGGATGACTGAAGAATTTTATTTTTTTCACTTACTTTGCTTTAACTTAAATATAAATGGGGGCCCTCCCTGGTGGCGCAAGGCTTAAAGACATAGCACTATCAAGCTATTGCCAGCCACTGTGACAGGAGTTCAATCCCCAGGCAGGGAGCTACCCACATGACACAGCAAACTTCTCCTGTCTTGCCCACTGCTCCCCTCAGCAGTGTATTTCAGTCATTCTGCCTGTTCTGTTCCCCGCTCTGTCTCTGGCGAATCCTCTCACCCCCTGCACCTTTGGCTGCACCCCAGTTCTTGTATGCACAAATACATAAATTTTAAAAAAATATTTATATGGTCACACAAGCTACTGTCTTGGACCAGGCTAGAGCATAACCTCTTTGAGGCTGAGCTCCATGCTTTCATTCTCTGCTCTGCCCCTGAATCATTGACAGAGACCCAGTGGTGGTGATTGAATAAACTCAGAGCACAGAGGCATGGGAGAGACTATTATTTGACTAAAAGGGTGGGAGGAAATAAGAGGAAATCCATAAAAAATTGACATGGGAAGTTCACAGCTAGAGGAAGAGAGCAAAGACATGAAGTAATGAACAAGAGTCAAGGCAGGGACAGAAACCACTATGTCCACTAATTGCATGTTCCATTGGATGGACTCTTCTTACGGTCCTTGATCATCCATGAGAGACCCCACTGTGCCCTCCAAGATCCCAAACAGCACAGATGTTTTTAAATTTGAGCTGCACAACCTCCATGAACCACTTCTTTTTAGAGTCAACTTTGTTATCCCTTAAAGGATGCATTCCAGTTAAAGGATAAGGCTTAAAAGGCACCAAATGTGAATTTCCAGTCACTTTCTCCCCATGAAAATTGTACCCCTGCACATACATAAGGGTAACAGGGTAAGGCACACCTTTGAGAAGGGACACTGTGGCTTCTAGGTTGACAAGCAGGCAGATCTGCAGGGAGACAGCTGCCGTATTTCAGGAGAGCAGGGCAGAGGAGTAGCAGTAGAGGTACTCAATCACCACCCAGAGCTCCAGCTTCAGCTGCTTAGAAAGAAGAGCAAACAGGGTTTCCTGAAGCTTTTGAGGAGGAGGAGACTAAAGATGACTCCATCTAAGTCAACCGGAAGGGCTGAAGGTGCCAACAATGAGATGGGTTTGGGATGAGACACTCCGGATGTTGCCCAAGTTGAGTTTGTGATGTCTCTACCAGGTGGAGACTGGTGGAGTCAGAAGAGAGGTCTGGGGTAAGGAGGTATATTTGGGTATGTTATGGCTTCCCCAGTATCCTTCCTGCTGACATTGCCCAGGAGAAGCTAAACAACTCAGACATAAAAACCCATGACTGTTAATTTTTCCCAACCTAGTCTTCCATGTGTTCATTACCAATGAGAACTAAGATTTTAGAATTTACTTCCGAAACTAAGGTGAAGGTAAACTTCCAAAGCTAAAGAAAGGTAAACCCACTCTCTAAAGCTTACTTCCATCATGAACCTACTCACCAAGTTCCCATCAGGACTGAACATTAATCCAAGGTAACAAAGGGAAAATGCCATTTCTTGTTTGTGTCTTTCCAGCTCAGGGGGTAATCTAGGGGGCACACAGCACTTCTCTAGGCACTATCCATAACAATAGCCCTTTTTAGGATACTGACCTATCTCAAGCAGCCAGATTTAAGCTACCTATGAAATATAAACCACAGATCCTGTATTCTAAACACATGCATTCAAAACTACCATTTTAAAATAATTGCAAGGGAGAGAAACAAAAAGAGATACATTCTGGGCCTCCCTGGTGGTGCAGCGGTTAAATAAAGCGCTGTTGCCAGCCACTGCAGCAGGAGTTCAATCCCCAGCCAGGGAGCTGACCTCTCCTACCTTGCCTGCTGCTCCCCTCAGCAGTGTACTTCAGTACATCTGCCTGTTCTGTTCCCTACTCTCTCTGGTGAGTCCTCTCACCAACTTCACCTCTGGCTTACACCCCAATTCTTGTATGCATAAATAAATAAATCTTTTTATTATAATTTTATTTTTATATTCCCCATAAAATTGCAGCCCCCTTATTTGACTCCAATCCACCTTTCCCTGCCCCCCCCCTCCCATAGCATGTCTCTGGTTCGTAGTTGTTCGTTGATATTGTTTTTTTTCTTTCTTATAGTTATTCTTTTTCCTGGTCCCTTATTTAGGTTTTCTAGATTCCTGCTGTGAGTGAGACCATCCGGTATTTTTCTTTTTCTTTCTGGCTTATTTCGCTGAGCATGATCGTTAAAAAGAAGTCAGGAATATAGATTTTACCAAAGAAACTACAATAATCTTCCCGCTACTACTACAAACAGGTTGGTCCGCGGCAACAACAATGGTAACTTGCTTAGGTTGGGAGTGGGGGTCAACAAACCTAGTCATCCCAAAACAAGCCTACACAATAAAATCCACCAAAAGCAATATACTAGAGTGTGTAGCAACAATATCTTTCTATGCAAATTGTTTCATACTTTACATAAAAGCAAGGCCACTATGTCACTAATGAGAGTACAGGAAGGAAAAAATCCACACTGAAAGTCAAACAGTCTTCAGTCTTGGTTTCACCTGTCTCTTCTAGTCAGAATCTAATAACAGATACATCATTTTTGGATTGTCAGACTAGCAAGTCATGTTTTACCAAAGGTCAGAAGCAGCTGAAGAAACAACTGTTTGAACAAACTAAATGCTGTTACATGA